AAATTAATTTATGTGAAAAAATCTATTTTGAAAAAATTGTCATTTTCGGTCCTTTTTCCAGCACCTAGCCCATATATCTGGCATAGTAAATCAGCATCATGTAAGGTTAGGTTTAGCATTTAATTAGATTTATATATATTGTTAGTAAATTGTTTTCTGTATAATGATATAATCAATATTAAATATTTTTAAAATTTTGGAACCAAATAAAATTTCAATTAAAAAAAAAATTAAAAAATACTCTTTTTGTCTAAAATATAGAGTCTTTTGAGCACTTGAGTCAAATTTCTAAAGAAGTTAATATGTAAAATATTGATAAGATACAGTTTGAAAATTAATATCTTCTTATAATAACACTTAAAATTTACTAAAATTCAAACTATATCTCCTCAATAATTTATATAATAACTTCCATAAAAATTTTATTAATTGTTTAGCAGACTCTATATTTTAAAATAAAAGTGTTTTTTAAAAAAATATATTAAATTTATAATGAATATAATAAAATTCATCAAAATTTATGTATAAATCATCATCTTTGTTATATAAAAAAATTTACTATTTATTATTACAGTCAGACCTTCCTAAATGCATATCGCCAGGATCACCTCTAGAGCAAGCATTTGGGAAGGGCTGCAATTAGAGAACACTAATAAAATCATGATATTACTGTTAGCATGTGATACTGTGGCTTTAATAGTGTGAATTCTGGAAATTGACCCACTAACTGCGGCTCGGTATGATCCAGGATCACGGGAACAAATGCAATAAATGACATTTGTGGTGTTTGTAGAATTTATCACATTTATAGATAAGTAGAATTTATGACATTTATGGTATTAATTAGATTTATAAGATAAATTAGATTTATAGCATTTATGCTATTCATTGTAATACTCGATCTTTTATTATAAATAAAGACCGTGAAAGCCCTAAAGAAAAATAAGTTTCACAATTATCATCTCTAACATAAAGTACACACTTGACCTATAAACCCTTTAGGACTAAAATAAATAACGTTCTAACTAAATACTTTTTACCCAGATCGATTATTAAGTGGCGTAGTGAAAGATCTTTATTTACCTAATTGTCTTGCTTACGTGACTTCATATAAGATTGTTTTCCAGTTGAATTTTGACATACTAAGAGCCTCTGTGGTTGTTATTTTTCCAACTATCTTGACAGACAGAAGATAGTTGTGGTTGAATTTTCAGTTTTTCGATGGACTGTGAATTCTGTAATTATCAAGTTCCGGTTTTGGGTTATTGTTGAAGAACTCAAGCCGTGGTTTTGTGTACAATCGTTATTAAGTTTTATTGGATTCCTGATACAAGTAAAGAAGGCATATCTATGATTAAAATCACCACTTGCCAAATCTAAACGCCTCTCTCGACTAAGCCATTTGTAGGTTATATGACATCTCAAATCAATTAGCCACAGAACTGCCGGTTTACAGTTGTCATTTTGGTGGTAGCTGTGAGATCCGACACAATGACTACCCACTCCCGATTTTAAAATTTAGTAATTTAGCATTAGAGTCATACCAAATGAAAAGGATTAATTATTCTAATGAAACCCCACCATTCTGTGTCCCAAAAAGCTCTCAAAATTGTAATGTGTCCCAAGAAAGCATAGAGAAAAAGGCCATATATTCAAGTAGTAGGAAAAGAAACTATACATTTAGTAATATAAGAAAATTAGAAAAAGAATATGCAATGTTATTTGCAAGACTTACCTAAGAACAAGCTGTCGAAGTCCAAGAAATAATAGATAGAGTCTTTGAAAATTATAACATCAGCAAAAGACAAATTCCCAGACTCTGGAATTCGTATTGGAAACAATAGAGGTAGTAATGCATGATAGAAGTGATACAGAAAATGTGGTATACTTGTCTTCGTATATAGAAGTGTCTGACTATCGTCATTCTATTCAATGTCAAAAACACCCCAGAAATATCAAAGGTATCCCCAAGGATTGCCCAGTAAAGCCCCAGAGAAAAAAAAAGTATCTATTACTGAAGTTCTTGAGTTATACTACATCATTGATGAACCCCTGAAAAAACCTAAGTTTGGTTCTGAGAAGGAAACATTGACTTGGAGCCTCTTCTTCAAAAATTAGCCACTAAATGTGATGAACTTCTATGAAAATTGGCCCTGAAGGAAGAAATTCAAGAATCTCCAAATAAAAATATCTTGAAAAAAGATAAGAACAAGGAAACCACTTATTATCAAAAATTATTAAAGATGAATTATACTTATGAAGAATCTGAACTTGTTCATGAGAATGGAAGCGAAGTTGAATATGATGAACATAAAGCATTTGACTACTGTAAAAAGCTAGCTGATATGAGTAACTCTAAAAAAACGCCTAACACTGGTTATTGCTATAGAGATGGAAACGAGATAAAAAAGGATAGTAGAAACAGAACTTACTCCAATATGTCCCGAAGTGTCAAGTTCGATGGCGAAGATGATGTAGAAAATACTGAAGAAAAAGAACATAATATCGAAATGGATGAATATACAGCACCCAATCGCTATCAGAACTCTGCCAACAAGAATAACACCGATGAAGTAAAAGATCTGGAAGATCATTGGCGAATTGGAATTGAAGCTGAAAAAGATGCTGAAAAAGAATTGTCATATGTTGATGAATGTTGTCGAAAAGTATTTAGAATTGAGAAAAATGAACAAAAGGGAATCGAAACTAAAAGAAACAAAGATAAGGCGTTTGGTCAATACCAGAGCTCCGATACAGGTAACACTTTTGATTTTGAGTGGAGTTTAAAAACTGCCAAAACAAGTGATGCTAACAGTTACTGAAAGTTAGTTGAATAAAGAATGCTATTGCAACGGAGCTGAATGGTCTTGGATTTGAAGAAAAGGCATTGACCAATGCACTCTACAAGAACTCCACGTCTATGGCTTTGGAACTTGACTTAGACAAATGGGATCAGAAGGGGGAAAAAGTGGATGAGAACTTACTGGCAAGACCCAAAGATACATCAAATGTTGGAAACAGTTATCAACATGGAATTAAAGCAGAAAATACTGAAGAGACAAGATGTGATGTCGAAAGAGATAAATGCGAAGTACCCAATCGCTCTCAAGACTCTGCTGGTATTAATGACACCAATGAAGTAAAAGACCTAGAAGACCGGTATCAAATTGGAATTAAATCTGAAAGAGGTGGCAAAAAACTTGTTTACAGAAAGTTGGCTGAAGAAAATGATATGAACATGAATAATGAACCTGATGATGATGATGAAAAGGTTGATGGGATAGTGAATAATGTAAAGAGATTTACTGAAAAAGAGAAGACAGATCATGCCTGTAAATTGTGGATAAAAAGAGTTGACGAATTCTGAAAGACTTTAAGTGAAGTGAAAGAGTCTACCAGGATGAAATTTGCTAAAGCCAAAGATATGACAAACAGTGGTGATCAAAATGGAGTCAGAGTTAAACCGAATGAAGCTGAAACAATCAATCATTATCAAAAATCTGCTGACACAAAAGAACCAATTAATGTTGGACTCTGTTATTGAAATAAGATAAAAAGGAAAGAAGCATTTGAACAGCATTTAACGCATGCTGAAAATAGTAACTCAAACAGCTGATTTGACCCAGGAGGATTTTATCAACAAAATAGAATTATTACTCGAAGAAATGAAGAGAAGGTATTAGAATGGAACCCGAAAGCTGCTGGAGGTGAAAATCTTGAATGTCGGAAAGGTAGACTTTTCTTGGTGAGAGAGGTGAAAAAGCCTACGAAAATTGGAAGAGAAGGGTTGATGAATTCTTGAGGCAATGCAAGGGCAAAACATGCAAAGTCAGGATGAATGAAATCGTACCTGAAAGATCCCTAACGTTTGGTGCCGCCCCTGGTCAAGTTGTGCAAGAGTCTATGGGAATGGACGTGAAACAAATAAAGGAACCCCCAAAAGGATACGCTGTGAAGATCACAACCCAAAAATAGTCTAACAATAGAGATAAAAAGGAGATAGGATTAGAGAAATTAAGTAGAAGTCAATATATGATAAAAAACCTGACAGCTCTATATTTACTGCAGTGGAACAGAATCATAGTCTTTGATTCTGGTCACCTAACCACTCTATCTAATCTGAAAGAAACTACTGATTAGTTAATATCCCTGCTATTGATCTCTAACTTGATGATAAGTCTTGTGGAACTTGACTTTAAGTGGGAGAGAAATGTGAGCCCCAGAAATCGACCCACTAACTGGATCTCGGTATGACCCAGGATCATGGAAACAAATGCAATAAATGACATTTGTGGCATTTGTGGAATTTATCCCATTTATAGCACAACTGAAATTTATGACATTTATAGCATTAATTAGATTTATGAGATAAATTAGATTTATGGCATTTATGCTATTCATTGTAATACTCGATCTTTTATTATAAATAAAGGCCGTGAAAGCCCTAGAGAAAAATAAGTTTCATGCTGCTTACAATCATCGTCCCTAATATAAAGTACACACTTAACTCATAAACCCTTTAGGACCCAAAATAAATAATGTTCTAACTAATTACTTTTTATCCAGATTGATCGCTAAGTGGCATAGTGAAAGATCTTTATTCATCTAATTGTCTTGCTCATGTGACTTCGCATAAGATTGTTTTCCAGTTGATTCTTGACTTTCTGAGAGCCTCCATGGTTGTTATTTTTCCAACTGTCTTGATGGACTGAAGATAGTTGTGGTTGAATTTTCAGTTTCCTGATGGACTGTGAATTCTGTGGTTATCAAGTTCTGGTTTTGGGTTATTGTTGAAGAACTCAAGCTGTGGTTTTGTGTACAATCATTATCAAGTTTTATTGGATTCCCGATACAAGTAAAGAAGGCATACCTATGATTAAAATCACCACTTGCCAAATCTAAATGCCTCTTTGACTAAGCCATTCATAGATTACACGACGTCTCAAATCGATTAGCAACAGACTCGCCGGTTTGCAGTTGTTAGTAGCTTGAAATAATGAATTTGATTAGCTGGTAATCACGTAAATGCATTTATGGAGGGAGTTTTTATAAGTGGGCCAGACAGTTAGTGTGCACTTACAGAATAAAGAACGTGCATTTATCTATAAGTCCCACCATGGGCCCGGGCTTATATCATGCATTTAGAAGGGTGCTGCATTTAGGGAGGGTGCATTTAGAGGGGTCTGACTGTAGTTTTCTTACCTGGCAATGTAACAAAAAAGCCACGAATCTATAAGCTGTATTATACAAAAATAGATCTGGTTTAAATTATAAAATTTCTGAACTTTTAAATGAATATTAATAATATTATAAAATAGTAAATACCTTTCTGTATTTATACATAGAAATAAAAAATCTTTCGCTTTTATTTTATCGTTATCTTGTACAATGTATAAAATCAGTCATATGACTTTTTAATAGACTAACTGCGGTTAGAATTAAAGACTTTTATAATTAGTAAAATAAAAATTCTAACGTTGTTATCATGTAAAGACACCTTTTATTAACCATTCTGTGTTTATAGAATTAAAATATGTTTGATATTACAAGAGGAATTAAAGACGAAAAATAACGATTTTTCTATAGTTTTTAATATTGCGTGCAGATCTTAGAAATTTTAATTATAAAATGATTTTTACTGTCACCTGCACTATGTTTGTAAATCGATATGCATTAGACACCCCAACCGCATGTCCCGATAATTATTTTATGACAGGGGGTGGTTTGGACCGTAAAATTGGCGACAATTTTTGACCTAAAAAATGTCTGCATCTCTAATTACAACTCGTTCTTGTTATAGTGAAATCCTCAGATTGAGAAAAAATATTTATTACAGCCTATATCGAAAGAAACTATAAACAGTCAACTTTTTCCATAGCAAACGTTGGTTCTGGATGTAAGAAAAAGTTCTTTTAAGAATTATAACTCTTTATACCGAATTAATATAAAATTTAAAATTTTAGAAATGTTCGTTATATAAAGTTGGATCTATATTAGTTAATAATTCAAATCTTCACGTGTATAGATCTACTTCTTTCTATAAGCACATACTCTACGTAACAGATACAAACACATGATCTGCGAATCCATTTAGACTGGTGTTACGATTAACCAACCAGAAAAAAAATCAGGTTTTGGCGAAATCTACTATGATGGAAGACGATTCGGCTATAATTCTACCTTTCCGAAAAGTGCCATCGGACGAAGAAGAAAGAGGATTAGAGACCGGTACTTTTTAAAAATATATTAAGCTATGCATTGTGTAATAACTTAAAGTATACCTTTTAATTAAATAAAGCTGATGTATATGTATCTGACGTGGAGCCCGCCGAGACGGGACGGGTTTTAAAGTAATGAATCGATTAGGTCCATAAACAATGTGTATGCATTGATTGATTTATTTATTTATCTATTTATTTATTTTTTAAATATTTTTTTGTATGAAAATATCAAGATTCGTTAAAAATCATTGCCCACAAGCAGAAATTCTGGACCATGTCAAACGAATAAGAAAAGTCACACATGATCAAGGTAAAGATTAATTTAACTAATAATTTAGCTATTTAAACCATTTCTAAAGTTAATATTTCAAATAAATTACATAATATGCTCTTTTGTGTGGGGCGAATAAAGGATTCACTCTAAATGTGCTTATATGTTTAACCGCTTCAATAACTTTCGATAATTTGAAATTATTAATTAAACAACATGACCTCGAATCAATTTTGTCGCTTCATATTTATCAAATTTCTAAATACCCACCGATCACACGAGCTCAATTTGAGGAATGGAATCGGTTATGGCCAATTAATTTTCGTGAAGATCCTAGGAGGTTTGCATAGTCAATTACCTCCTGACCAAAAGTCTAAATAGCTATTGATATAAATATCAATGATAGAGATTCTAGATTTTCTTCCAAAGAAATAGAATTGTTAAGAAATCACATGATCAGAGCAATTAAGTTAGCAGATATTGCAAGATCTAAAGGAGAGGTATAGATTTCATTATAAAATAATAATTTTATCACTGCTCTTAATATAATGCAATCATTTAAAGATACCGGTAGGTTGTGTAATAGTAGAAGAGGAAGCAGTCAAGAATTACCTACCACCCACCATTGTGAGTGCAATTAAGGACTATACAACCAGAAAGCTAGATTTGAGTGCAAGTATTAAAGAGTTAAAATGAAAGGAGGTTTCAAACATTAAGCAAAAAGTATGTGAAGTGCAAAAAAATGAAAACTTTGGA